CTCCACTCCCCCTCTGGGCAGCCTGTCCCAGGGCTCCGGCACCCTCACAGGAAAGAAGTTTTTCCTTAAGTTTCTCTGGAACTTCTGGTGTTCCAGCTTGTGCCCATTGCCCCTTGTCCTGTCACTGGGCACCACAGAGAAGAGCCCGGCCCCATCCATTTGGCCCCCACATTTCAGATATTTATAGATATTGATCAGATCCCCAAGGTATTTGACACCTTGCTAACAGGCCATTCAATTTCCCCTCCAGTTGGGCAGCTGGCAAGACGAGCCTGTGTTTGTCTGTAAGACAGAGCTTGTTTAGACTCTTGTGTTTTTTGAGTGGTGAAAAGAGAGTTCAGGATCCTAAATTTGAGTATCACAGCCTCAGTTGGCGTAAGGCAATAGAACCTTCATCAGCAAAATAGGAATTTAAGACATCTGTATGAAATTATCTACAACTTGTCCAAAGTATACAGGAAGCACTGTAGAAAAAGGCCATCATGAAGGATGAGAAAACACTCCATTCCTATTCACCACATGCAGATACTCACACTAAATATTAAATAGAAGAGAAACTAAATGACAGTCGGTGGTTACCTGGGCAAACCTCAGTGAAGGGTTAGCTGGCAAGGGTCTTTCAGGCACAGCTTGATGACACGGCAGCTGGGGAAGGGGTGGGAGGACACGCTGTGGTGTTTTTAACGGTGGCAAATCGTGTGTCTTCACAGGGTTACTAATGTCAATGATCTGATACGGCAGTGGTCTCCTTGGACCATCTCTCTGTAAAAACAACCCCACCCCAAACAAAAGATATAAACTTCAAGAGTTGACATAAACATTGCTACTTGAAAATGTAAGTTATTTGCTTGCTTTTCTCTTCTACTCTGCTTTTATCTACCTTCAACACCTCTGCAACCAGAGAAGCAATTAACAGCTGCCAGAGTCCTCCTCAAGCACTAATCCTTCACCATTTAGACACAGTGTTCTGCTCTAAGCCAGCTGGCTCTCTCCTAGAGATTAAACTATATTTTTTTCCTGCACTTGACATCTCCACCTGTCTAAAATTTGGAAGCCATAAATGTATTTTGAAGCCCACATCAACTCCCATTTTGCATCTTGTTAGTTCTACACAATATTAATATCATGTAATAAATAATAGAATCATAGAATGGTTTGGCTTGGAAGGGATCTTAAAGCTCATCCAGTCCCAACCCCCCTGCCATCAGCAGGGACACCTTCCACTAGACCAGGTTGCTCAAAGCCTCATCCAGCCTGGCCTTCAACACTTCCAGGGAGGGGGCATCCACAACTTCCTTGGGCAACCTGTTCCAGTGTCTGACCACCCTCACAGTGAAGAATGTGTTATAATAAATTACTTACATGAGATTTAAAATATATAATATGCTTTTTTATTAAAAAAAAGAAAAGCCCCCAAAACAAACTATTTAGGGACTCACTTTTTGTATGTTTGTATTTTGTGGCTTCCTGATGAGATTTTTACTGAGAGACGTGGTGTGAACATGATTAGGCTCTGATGAACTGGAAGGCCTTGCTGGGCTCACAGACCTGCAATACAAACATATATTTATTGAACACAACATTCTGCTTTCTAACAGTTTTTTAAACAATAGCCTCTTTTCCGAATGAGATTTTGCAAGGACTTTCTGACTTTTCATAGTAAACAAGGAAAGTAAAAATTGTCTAGCGCTCCTGCAAGAATAAAAATAAATATTGATTTTTTGGAAACCAGTAGTCTGTTAAATTAGCTTCTGCAATCTGTGGAAATGCAGCTTTGTAACACCCAAGAGACTATTCTAATGAATCTAGCATTTAAACAGTAATGACCTCAAATATGAAAGTTTCGGCTCACTCGACCGAGTTTAGATAAAAGGCCATGCAATGTAATGAAACTATTTGAAGCAAATGAAAATAAAGTTAAGACTTCCTTCACTTCTTAATTTTATTTTTTATTTTTTATCACAAAAGAGGTATATAGTCAAACCAAAACCTACATTATTTACTGACCATCAATCAAGTTACACTAAACCAGAAAAAACACTGTTGTTAATACCAGGAGAATATTTTTCTGGCTCTTTCTAACATACCCACGGTGAGAGCTGCCACGTTTACAGCTAATTTCTACTAATATCTATTAGAGCATAATTAGGGAAAATAATCATACCTTAGTTTCTCTATTGTGGTCTTTTTACTTGTAAACAACCATCTCATGAAAGTCTTCCTTTTCAGATACATGATTGATCCCGCAAAGATAAGGCACAGAATGGTTACCAACACTCCTATGGTTAAACTCTTATTATCTGGAACAAAAAAACCATAGAGTTAAGTTCTGTCAGGAGCCATCTTTACTGAAATGTGTTGTGGACACGGACTGGCCTGGGTTTCTAACTGCAGTGCAGGTGAAGTGAATAAACTATGAATTAAAGACCAATAAGCTCTTATTTCTTCTATCCTAATGCTTAAATTTTGGCCGGTTTTAAAGCTCTTTCTTTAACACTGGGGGAAAATTGGTTTAAATATAATGTTGTAGGTCCCTTCCAACTGAACTATTCTATTCTAGTCAGATATCTGGGTCCAAATATCTTGGAGATATCCATTCTTGGAGAACAAGTCTTACAAAGAGTGGCTGAGGGAATTGAGGTTGTTGAGCCTGGAGAAAAGGAGGCTGAGGGGAGACCTTCTGGCTCTCTACAACTCCCTGAAAGGAGGGTGTAGAGAGGTGGGGGTTGGTCTCTTCTCCCAAGTAACAAGCAATAGAAGAGAGGAAATGGCCTCAAGTTGTGCCAGAGGAGGTTTAGATAGATATTAGGAAAAACTTTTTGACTGAAAGGCTAGTCAAGCATTGGAACAGGCTGTCCAGGGAGGTGGTGGAGTCACCTTCCCTGGTGGTATTTAAAAGATGGGTAGATGAGGTGCTGAGGGACATGGTTTAGTGGTGGACTTGGCAGTGTTGGGTTTATGGTTGGAATTGATGATCTTAAAGGTCTTTTCCAACCACTACAATTCTGTGATTCTGATTCTCTGAAATATGAACATCGACATGTACTCTCTGCACCTGTGTTCAGGTCCTGCTTAGGTTGCCATCTGCACATGAGGCCATAAGGTGTATGGGCTGTTGGCCTCCTCCAGACACCCTCAGTCCATAGCAATGCAGACTGGCACCTTCTTCAAGGGCTGCCTGCTGCCAGGGTGGGAGAGAGAGACAGAGGCTGAAAAGGAGAATAAAGGGACAGAAATGCCAAGATCATGGCTTGGGGGAAGTGCAAGCTTCTAAATATTCTGTCCCTCAAACATAAGCAGTAACTAGCTCCTTTCTAACCATGTTTGAAGGGTCTCATTGTGCTTCAACACTGCACAAACAGTCTGAAATCTGCACTAGTGTAGTCCAGCCCAGACAGCTGTCAAGTCAAATCTGGAGGTAAGCAAGGAGCCGAAGGAAAGCAGTGGTGGGTGCTCTCGGAGGGATGCTCTGCTTAGCGAGGGGCTGCAGCCTTCTGGACTCGTTTCAGTTTTCAGAGTGCTTGAAGCTGCTTTAAGTACCTTGCTGGGACCTAAGCAAAGCACACTGGTGAAGTGAACCCTGACTAGATGACTTGCAGCTGAAAAAAAGCCTTATTTTTAAGAAGAGGATGTCGTGATCCTTCAGGACTGCTGACCTAAAAACCACACACTCCCACAGCAGGAGAAAACATCTTTAATGTTTTCTTGGGTAACCTATCATCACTGTCTCAGTCTTATCCTGATGGATTTTCAGCCAGCTGGCTCTCGTCTACTGGTCTAAGCTCACTGGGAACAGAGTGAGCAACACTGACCCAACAAACTACACGTGGGGCAGGATAGGGCATGAAGTGCCAGGCTTTTTACCTTATAGCACTGCAGAATAACAAATCCCTCACCATGTCCAAAAGATTAATAAATGAATAAGCTAAGATTTGCAATTTAAATTAATTAACTTCTCTACATAACCAATATTTAAGGCTTCTTTGTAAGAAAAATAGAGAGTAGCAAACACATACATTTATTCTAAGTCAGCTGGGTAAAATCAGTTACTAAATACTAATGAGGCCATGTGCCTTGTTTGACTAAGATGAAAGTATTTTATTGAACTAATCCTTCTGTAATTTGATTTAGAGATGTGCAAACTGCTCAGATCATAATCCAAACCTCTCCATCAAGTGTTCACATTTAAATCCAAGTGCCAGCGATAGAAAATTAGGTCCTCTAGCAATTTCCATATTTGTTTATTCTCAGTATTATTGAATGTAGCACCATCTTTTGAGAAAAATGGTGAAACTACCACACCATATTAAATGATTTTTAAAACAGTTTTCTGTTAAACTGAAGAGTTGACTTACAAAACACAAAACACAAGAATTATCTAAGATATCCTGTATTTGTCTTCTCCAGTTAGTGTTGTCTATGCTGCACATTATTAGAATAGATTTTGTAGTTCTCTAGATACTTAGCTTTCAGGTAAACTGAAAAAGGATGACAATGCTTTAGAGCAAATCTTGAAAGAAAACATTTAACACACAAGTAATCACACTTGTTCAGTGCCTGAGCATGGTTTCTCTGCTATCTTACCAACCTGTAGGTATTTAAACAAAAGATCTTTCAACAGTGAAACCATAATGTGAAGCTTTGTCATGGAAATGACCGTGATGTCATAAATCCAGTATTACAATTCACTGCAGGATCTGGCATGTAGGGAATACAATCCATTTTAGTTTTGAACAGCATAATTCATATGAAAACATGCAGATCATTTTCCAGCAAGTTTTAGTTTATCTATGTATATGCGAGCAGACCGCTTGTCCTGTCACTTACTCAGACATAAATCAGAACCTTCTCTGTGGAAGTCACTAAAGTTACAGTACTCTGGAGAAAAATTGGCCTGTGATGGTTATCAAATCCTATAAAAGTTCACAATGTGTAGAAATTATTCCTTCTGAGGTTGTCCAAAGTTGAAAGAAGACACTATAGCCAATGTTCTGCAGACTGAACAAGGGGAAATTGAAATACAAGTTCCAGAAAATGCACATCTCCTACTACTATCATATGTGAGGGCAACTTCTAGTAAATGTGTGGAAACTATCTATAAATTGTAGTTTTAATCCGATACAGCTAGAAATCTGCTATTTTCCAATAGCATGCAAAAGATCCTCCTTGGAAGAACAATATCAAATATATTTCTGATTTTTGATTTGCATTTATCATCATTGCAATATCCACTCTTCATCAGGCACATAGCTATAGCAGCAGGTTGTGCATACAATAAAGCATTTCTATCCTGATGCACTCAGGGGAGAACACTGCAGCTTGCCATATCTCAAGGTGAATCCAAGAGTACTGCAACATTCATCTACCATGGCAACAGGATTAGCTCAAGTGTGGGAGTTAACTCCTCATCCTCGGCTTAAATCAATACCTTTTCGTACTTATTGCAGTGAGCTACTAAACTTGACCATGTATTTTGAAAAATAAAAGAAAGGCAAAGAAATGCGAAGAAAAGTAAAGAAAGGCAAAGAAATGCAAAGAAAAGTAAAGAAAGGCAAAGAAAAGAACTCACCAGAACCACCGTGACTTCAGTTATGCAAGAAAATCCATGCACTCAGCCTGCCTTGGCTGTGCTTCATGAAATTGTCAAGTTGGTGACAATTGGTGACACTGCCAATGCGTTTGGATTAATCTCTTTGATTTACTGACTTATTTCCCAATCTTGTAAGCTCATTGCTTACACGACGACACTTTTTATTTCCACTCTTTATCACAGAAACCACAAGTAAAGCATTAATTACTACTAACCTGCTTGTCTAATTGGTCCGCTGTCCACGCTGCCACCAAAGCCTGGCTTGTCACAGTACGGGGGAGCCCAGTCTGCCTCACAGTGACAGTTCTTTTTATTGTTGCAGACCTACAAAACAAGACAAATGACCTACCCATGCAAAGGATTACCCTATACATCTGAGAGCAGCAGTGGCTGATAAGGCCTCCTAATCAGATGGTGACACATCTGAAAGAAATAAAACTTACAGAAGAGAAGAGATGTACTGGTATCTGCCCATTGGCAAAACTGAGAGGGCATAGAGCAACTCTGAGTGCAAGACACCGCGGAGGAACAGGGATCTTAAAAATGCATTATTTCTTTGGCAGGTAATTGTTTGAGTTGCACCAGCTGACAACTTCAATAATATAAGGATAATCACACACCTCTTAAGTCTTATTCTCTCTTTGCCTGCAGCAGCAACATTATCTGCTTTCTAACTTCTGCTCCCTCTGCCTTCACAGGAAGAATGCTGTTAAGGCTGTGAAGCTTTGTCAGCCCACTTGAGCACTCCTATCCATCAAGGCTTGCACTAGGCTGCATGCTAATTTTCCCACTGCTCAGTTTCCTCAGCTCCAAGATGAACCAGTTGCTGGAAGAACATGTGAAACTGGAACCAGAGTTGCAAAAACCCTCCCTTTGACATCACACCTGCACTGTCTATAAAGATACACCCCTCAGTGTCTTTAATCTGAGTTAAGGAACAACTAACAAGACTTGATTTACCAAAAGGCAAATCAGTCTGTTCAACCAAGTAACACGGTCTGTTCAATCAAGGAACAAGTGACAGGACAAGAGGAAATGGCCTCAAGTTGTGCCCAGGGCAGTTGAGATGGGATGTGAGGAAGAATTTCTTTGCTGAAAGGGTTCTGAGGCATTGGAAGGGGTTGGCCAGGGCAGTGGCGGAGTCCCCATCCCTGGAGGGATTGAAGAGTCGTGTAGACATAGTGCTGAGGGACATGGGTTAGTCGGGGACTTGTCAGTGTTGGGTTAATGATTGGACTTGGTGATCTTAAAGGTCTTTTCCAATCCAGGAAATTCTGGGATCCTGTGAAAAGCTCCTTGTAGAATAAGAGAGCTCCAAAGGACTGGAGACCATCATTAACATCTGCCTCTTCCCACTGCACAGAGCAGAAGGAGTGGGTAGACTCAGGTCTTTTTCCTCAGGAGGTCCCACAGTCCCAAACACCCATCAGGTTACTTTTATTTCCTTTTGCTACCACCCATATGTGACTAATACAGAGGCCAAAGCTCTGCGCTGTATCGACAGAATCCTGGAACTGAAAGGGCTAAAAAAAAAATGTCGTGCAGGACAGAGATGGCACAGTCACATGCTGAAATTGATTTTAAATAAAGTTTTTGGGCTTAGGGCTAGTTGTCAATATGGTTTTAAATTCTGTGCTAACACTGATCATCACTGATCTACCATCACCGTGGAGAAACAACACAGTAGATTAATGAACGGGTTTCTGAGTAAGACACTAGGTAGTTCACAGGAGTCTGCAAACACGCATTTTTCTGGCAAGGTCAGCTGGCAGCCTTTCAGAAAAGCAATACTGGCTGTGTCTGCAGAGTATTAAAATATCATTCACACAGCTTAGATTGGCCATGGTCATATAAAATGCAAAAAAAAATAAAAAAAGGAAAAAAAAAAAAAGATTTACTTTCCAAAGACAGCAAGATAATTACAAATATCATTCGTTAAGTGTTATGTTTAAAATTAAAGCACTACAGGAGTTCCCATCTACAATTCCACGAGGTCATTTTTTGCTACTCAGGAGTCACCATAAGTTCTTCATCGTACAGACGTACAGCTGCCAATCTCAGCTGATGCTCATTCCAGCACAATGATCACATGCAGCCCCATCAACACTGCACAGTTTTCCAAATGTAGGATGATAAAATAAAGTGAAATCAAATTAAAATCCCTTCTCAGGAGAGGACAGAGAAGTTCCTGTGTCTCTTCCAATGCAATTGCCACAGTTTTTCACAGAAACACACAGATCATCAGCAAATCAAGGTTAATAAGTCGTAGCTTGACACAATTAACATTTTTATAATATAAACTAGGTTTCAAAACACTTTGATATTATTAACTGATACCATCAAATTTTTCATCCTGCACCACTTTCATACCATGAAACTCATCAATATGTTTTCTCTTTATTTTAATACTTTTGGAAATGCTATTCCATTTGAATCTCAATTCAAATGCATATTTTTACTTCTCTGTATCCGCACAGAAACATTATTTTAAATGTTAATGGGAATTCTTCATGAAGGAAGACTTAAAATTGCTTTGAAGATGACAAAATTCCTTTTTATCACAGACTGTTAATTAAGAGCAAGATAATTACTACCTGATAAATATTTCTTTGTTAAAGAAAAAATAATTTCATTGCTTGCAGTTCATATAAGGGACACTGAAAATGGAAATACATAATGAAAAAATTATTGCAGTGACTTTGACTGATATATTACAATCATAGGTCCCAAAGCTATTACTTAAAATGAATTTTTGTCCAATGTTTATTGATTGATTGTAAAAAAAGTGTTCCTATAATGCTTACCCCACGTCCATGACACTTTGTTGCACATTTATGTACACCAAAAACGCTCGTATTCTGGCACTGGCGATTAAGGCAAATCTGTAAAACAAGAGAAAAGGTGTTTTAATAGGGACAGAACTGCTGGTGCTCACAAGGCATCATGTCCCTCTCCAGCTCTCTGTACATCTCCTCATCCATCAAGGGTTCTTTTAGCAGTTAAAGATTTCCCAATACACGCGCTGCATTGAGAACATTCCATTGACAAAAAGATAAGGACACCAGAATTAGATGTCGTCTTCTTCTTAAGCCTTTGTAAGTCTTCCAGGTCCAAATCTGTGGAAGCTGAATATCACTTTTGATTGGCGTCCTGGCCACTACTGAATTTCAGACATAGTTCATATCTGGTTAATACGCTGAGCTTGTGTAAATAAACACTCCCAGTTTCACTGAAGTGGAACTTGTAGTGAGCTGCTGGGCTTTGAGGTTTTTTTAAGCCAGTTTTAAACTCAGTAATTTGCATTTTTTGATGACTAGGAATGTATTGAGCAGGATTCTTTCCTGTGCCTAATCTGCCTGCATTCATGATTCAGGTCCTCTCGTGGTGTAAATTAGCATAGTTCAGTTTATATCAATAGTGCTTATTTTTACATTTAAATACTTATTTTTGCTAGTATAGAACTTGGAGCCAGGACAGTCTGAATATTTCACTGAGGCCATTGATATATATACGGGCTCATCATTGTTCTTCAGCAAAACTGAGACCTTTCTAAAAGTTTTCCCAGGCTAAACATTGTTTTTGGTGTCATATATATTTGGTGTCAAATATAAGCCAACCATATTTAAAGTGCAATAATAATCTTATAGGAAATGGAAGTAAACAAATAGCATATGTAAAGTAAGAAAATTTTCGTTTGTTTGTTTTCCAGTTATTACAGGTAAACTTTACCAATATAACTGAAAATTGAGTTAAAGCAAGATAAGTACCATCTAACAATACCATCAACCAACCAAATGAATGATGATGTCAGTAAGAAGATGTTATCCTACTCAAAACTGAAAAAAAGAAATTAGGACTGGAATAACTGTTACTATGCTGTGTTGACCAAAAAAACCAAACCAAACCAAAAAAACAACAAAAAAATGACTGCGCAATTTTGCTGCTGTTTAACTGCAGTTCAGTTCAGTAGTACAAAAAGTCAGTCACAATAATTAGCATTAAGCAGGGAATAGTGTTGAAGGAGACGACAGGGAGGCTTAATCAGGGCACTTATCCCCTGGGGAGAAGGAAAAATGGAAAGGAAATTAGAGTGAATTGGCATCAACATGCACACATGTAGAGAATATGGTCTGATTACAGCAGTATTCACAATTCACATATTCATAGTGCAGGAGCTTGCAGAATTCTGATCACATTAAAATGGCTGCATTTCAAATTGGGTATCTTCAGCTTAGAAAACTCAAGAATATTTAAATTCATATTCTTAATCCATAATACAAATGCACTAATGTCCTCAAAGTAAAACATATAATTTCATAAGTATTAGCCTGTGTATTCTATAACGGGTATGTGTATGATTAGATAGATTAGAAAGATTAAATACTCATTAGTAAAACATAATGGGGTGCTTTCCCAGCATAAAATTTTCTTTGAAAAGACTTTTTAGAACAGATTGACTTAGACATGTTGTAAGGGTTGTTTTCCTGTAACAGAACTGTAGTTTCACTAGGGACGTATTTTAAACCTGTTCCAAATGCAGGATGATAATCCAATATAATTCAAAAGCATCCAAAAATTCAAAGGTTTATTTGAATTTACCAGAAATTACCAAAGCACTTTTTTTTCATTTTTCTTTTTGCAAGTATTTCACTGAGAGTATGGAAACTTTTTTCATTTATGTAGTTTTGGACTCCTTTCCATTACTCCCCACTGTGAACTCATGCTTGTCTCCCACCTTTCTCTGTTCCTTTTCTCAGAAAAGAAAACCTAAGAATGAGACAGCCACACGAAATTTGGACTACATTCACATTGGATAATTCACAAAGTTTGTAAAATATGATTGCAAAAATTAGTTTTGGTGGCTGAACATCAATGAAAAATTATATTTTTCTAATAGTGCACACAGAGAGAGATTTTGCTGCAAGAAAAAAACCCTCAAAACCTGGAGTGGTAGCCATAATCAGTAGACAGAATACATTTTGAAACCTAAAGTGAAGTTAATGACAATTTTGCAATGCTGTAGACACTGGGAAAGTGAATATATTGAACTCCTCAGAAAGTGTTGACAAGCCTGCCTTGCATTTTGCTGTACTTATTTTGCAGAAAACCTCTAGTCTACATGGACAAGATATTTAGGACAGTCTTCAGAAAATCAGTTATAAAATTAAGCAACTTGCATTGCCTCAGCAAATCTGTAAATCTTCCAAAAGAAGAAGGGAGTAAAAATCTGACTCAGTGTGAGCATGAGAAACAATTCTATGGACAAAAAAATAATCCCAAAGCAAAACCTCGTCAGTTTGGTACAAAAATACTCTGTAGCATGAGAGTGGTGAGGTTCCCCCTATTTGGGAGTATTTCAGAAACCTACTTTTCCATCTTCACACTTGGTTCCTGACAGCACAAGACCAGGATCAGGCATATCATCACCCAAATACACATGGGTACCACGACACAGAATCTTGCCACCTTCCTGAAGTGGGATATTAGTTTCTATGGAAACAGCATTGGTACCAATTACAGGTCGATTTGCTCCTCCTTGACACTGAATTTTTCCACATTTAGCATCTCTGAAGGAAATAAACAAAACCAAAAATTAGTCTAATAACTGTAAATGTTATAAGCTCCCTCCCACCACCTGTTCCTGTGTTTGGAGGGAGAGACCCTACCTGGGTTCACATTTAGCAAAGGAGCTCTTGGAGTCTTTGCCGCAGTTGCCGTAAGGATCACCTGCAGAATTGACTCTCTCAAAGCAGATCCCAGGAGCAGGTTTCGCACCTGAAACAAAACCTAATCAGAACTTTCATCTCATACAAGGTGTTTTTAATAATTTTCCTTGAGCTCTGCTGATGGTTTAGGGGAAGGTAAGATGTGATCTGCATATTGATGAAGCACAACAAAACAGTTGTGCTGGATCAGCATGCTAATTGAAGAGCCTGAACGTGTGGGTTTTCCACTGTTGTTTGTCTCTCTTGGCAGTGCTGAGCAATAGACGATGCAGAACTCATTCTCTTTCAGAATTTCTCTAGATGATATCTCTCTTGTGAATCCTCCTAGGACACAAAAACTTTTAGCAAATGCCAAGTCTAGTTTGGTGAAGAAAGACAAAGGCCAGCTGGTAAGTCAACCCCCCTTCTTTTTACAGGAGTCCACGTGATTGTAGTGAAAGCCCAAGAGCTGAAGCCAGAGAAAACACTTTTCAAGAAAGGCCTTTTAAAGTGCAATTCAGAACAAGAAGAAACCAGAAAAAATCCAGTTGCAAACTGGAGTGCTATGTGACTGCAAAAACACGACCACATGACATGGCAAGGAGAATACACTGCTGCTAGCTGAAGCTAATGTACTGAGGAGAGGAAGGGAACCCATCCCCACCTTGATCCTCAATGAATCCACTCCTGAGAGGAAAAACTGACTTGGAAGAAGAGTCACTTCTACCATGGTGGTAAAAGTAGGAATCTGGGAGGACAGGCAGCATCTGGTTCTTATCTACTATAGTCTTTTATGATTGAGACATCTCCTAATGGCAAAGGAACTTCCCTGATGGAAGTAGTACTGGAAATGTTTGTGCAGACAGATTACTCATCCTTACATTTTAAAAATTAAAAGGTATTATTAGAATATCTATTCTAATGTCTTATACAGACAATCTTCTGTCCATTTTTCCCTAGATTATGAGCGACTATTGAGTATCTTCTAGGGGAAAAGACATGCATTAATCTGAAATGTCTCAAAGGTGGAAGATCTACTTCCCTGGTTTGACTGTTGCAATGATTAATTAGTCAGTGTATTAGAATTTAATCCCTTTGTTCTATTGTGAAGTGTGGCTTTTATTTCCAGCCAATAATTGCTGCTCTTTACAGGATTAAGAGACCCTTTGCTAGGACACTTTACTACCCCATATTTTCTTTCCATTAAGATAATTAATAGCACAATCAAGTCACTGCCAACATTTCAACTACTCCAATAGACAGACTTGCTTGGAGGAGATGAGGTCGTAGGGAGATACACTGGCTAAAACTCTTAACAGATATCTGCTAGATGCATTTTTGTACTTTTGATAGATCAGCCAAACTAAAGCAAAAAGAACTGACAATAAAAGATGTGATAGCCTGAGGGCTGAGAATATACCATTTTACAGTGTTCCCTGATCTTTAACAGAGACAGAATATCTCAGTTAACATCACATTTTTTCAAACGTCTTGAACCTCTTCCAAGTGTGTATGCTTCTAACTGTGGGTAAAACCTATCATTTATTTAAACTATCCTGAAGATTTCATTTGAAAGCTTTCAAAGAGGAAGAAGGTGGGGGTTTTTTGGGGTTTTTTTGTTTTGTTTTTTTTTAAAAAGAGGTCAATTTCCTGGAGAAGAAAACACAAATATGATTGTAAAACTTCCAGTTAGTGTGGATCTTTTCGCTAATAACTCAGAGATTAAAGCCTCAATTAATTATCTGCATTTCACAGTCAGAAGCTTGACTAATACTATATACTGCTGAACAGCAATCTAATGCTATTAAGGACAAAGTATTAAAACTTGGAGAGGCTTAAGATGGCACATTCTTTTCCTTCTAACATTTTTACATACTGAAACTGGAAAACTCAGAAAGAAAGGCACAGAAGGAACAGAATATGAGCTCTTGGTTCCCTGGAGAGCAGGACAAGAGCTTGAAATTCTTTGGCAGATTACAATCAAGCTTGCTGAGTTCAGAATATTTCTCAAATCTGGAACTATTAAAAAAGACTCACACAGGATTCCTTCACTTCTTTTCATTAAACCACAAGCAAGAATAAAAAAAAAAAATAAAAAAATCAACAAAAGCATTCAGACAAGGCACTGTGCAAAAAGCAAAAGTAAAATTTCCATTTTCAGCATGTAGATTCCTCCTCATCTTTCCAGGGCAGGTACATTAACTATTCAGCTTGATACAAACATTAACATGTGCATATACAATGCCAGCTTTAGAAGGGCAGGGGAGGGAAGGAAAATAAAACATGTCATAAGCAAAAGGCCGAGTAAAACTACTTTTTCTCTCACATCTGCAAAGACTGACTTGCTCAGACCTCCCCCATCAAAGGAATAAGCCCCCCTCCATCTACCACGATCACACACAATTGCTATGGGTCTCGTTTTTTCTTGGCCAGGAGCCTTGTGCCCCAAATAGTTCAGCCGATGTCGTACCATTGCGATGACTGGAGACTTCCTTAGAAATGTGTCAGCAGCACAGACACACATTCCCCAGAGTGGTGTATGTGGCTCCAAAAGCTGCCAAAAGCAAAATGAATGCTCACATCCTGTGCTCTGACTGTAATTGACCTAATAAAGACTTATTAAAAATAATGGTGTTAAAATGAGAAAGGGCTCACTGAAATGCTAAGAGACTTTAAGGTATTTATCTTCCTCTTTCACCTGGTGAAACTTCTTTTGTTTGATTGTGTTTTTTTTAATGTAGAAGTCAAGACATGATGGAAAGCAGCCTGCAGGAAGAAGAACACATCTGCAGCATCCTTGCAGGGCTCAGACAGTGAGCTTTAACTCCAACCAATAATACTTGACAAGAAAACAGATCTCATGGAGTACAAAAAAATGCTCCCCTGCCAGGCTCGGAGCAGTCTGTGTATGAAACACCTGGTACCCAATGATCATCTGTGCCTTGGAAACCAAAATCTAGCTTCAATTTCCGTCTTTGGTATCAAACCAAAACACATTGTTACTTGGGATTCAGATGGCTGTTCCCTCTCCTGACTGGTTTCTCATAATATTTGGACTTTTTAATAGATGAAAAAATATCAGAGTGTAAGAAACTGAAGAGATAGAGCTACCAAGTTAAAAGAAGGATTTCAGAGGATGCTTAAGGAAGAAAATTGCAATGCTGTGTTTCTGAAGGAAACCCATTTATCATGATTGTACCATATAAACTGAAGCAGAAAGTCCTGTCTCTCTTTATTTTCCTCCCTCTACAGGCAAAGGCAAAATGATTTGTGAAAGATTTCCAGTGGTTATTAAGTGCTCTGAGCTGGATGAGCAGAGTTTATTTCACTTTGCTATTGATAATTATAGTATCGTGACCCTGTAATTAAGGTCCTGTCAGCCTTCCCACGCCAAGCCTTATTCAAGGGATTAAATCAGCCGTCTGAAACTGCAGAAGGTCAAAGCTCACCGCTGCAGCTGACAGCCTGGAGACTCCAAATTTTTTTCTCCAAATGTGTATATTGATGAGCCCGCTTCTAAAAAAAAACTATGCGGTTGCAAAAAAAAAAAAACAAACAAAAAAAACAACAACAAAAAAAGATGTTCTACACTTTTGGAACTGATACAGAAATGCTGTGTCATTTTAGATTAGTGCAAGACCTGCTGCAATGAGAAAATACCGTCACGGTCTCCCAAAAGAGAAGAGAGAAATTTCTGACCATGGTGCTGATTCCAAGAACAGAGAAACACCCATTATCAGGCTGACAGTGGAAAAGAAAGATATTTCCATCAGTTCCCAATATTGTTTCAAGACTTACTTTAAAAAAAAAAAAAAAATACAGTGCTTATGGGTGTGGAAGGAAAAAAAAAAAAACCAACCCTCTGAGTAAAAGACTGGAATTCTGTTGCTCAGAGTATACCAACAAGCACCACCCCAACTGTATAAATACATATAAGCACAAAAATACAGTTCTCTATCATGTTATTTGCACCTGGATTTTATATCTCATTAAGTTTGTCTTAATGCACTGATGATGCAAAGCCAACTTTCCACAAGCTCCCCTTGGCCTCTCTCTTCTTCTTGGTGATCCCAGTTGTTAAGTCTGTGCAGGACTGAGGTGGGGTTGAGCTGTTATTTGTTCCATTTAAGGACTATGGTAGCTCTCACTACCTCTGAAAATACAGTTTAATGCCTTTCATATCTCCAGAAAAAAAAAAGGCCACAAAAAGGTCACAAATCTATGGTGATCAAGAGAGTTTGATTTTCCTGAATTAAAATCACCACAGTGCTTGGATAAATTAGTATTCATATATATATAAAAAACCCCGCCAACAAACCAACAAGAGCAAACAGCAAACAAACAGTCAGCAATGCTTTGGTCAGCTAACTTAGATGGGAAATCCATTTATTTTGCCTATAGGGTTGTACCCGATAAAAACTGCAAAGCTCTTACACCAGTGATGGGCCTTTGTAACAAATATTGACATTAAAATTAACATTATGCCTGCCTAAACAAATGGCCATGCCTATGAAACAAATTTAAGTATGTTCTAATTATTAAGTCAATGCCTGCCATTGGCTCCTGCAAATCATTGCTTTTTGCCCTCTCAGGGAAATCTAGGAAAACACACTGACAAACATCTTTCCTTCTCCAAAGAATCATCTTCTTGTCAATGTAGAAAAAGCCATGAGTCTAAAGCTGAGAATCTTCTGTTCCTCAGTAATCAATATTTTCTCTCTCTTAAATAGCTTTATCTGTGGATCTAGTTGCTCCCAGAAAATGCCAGTGGAGTATGAGACATTACACAGACGCGTTACTATCGATGTATCTTTCAGTCACACCACTATCGATAGGTCAGATCGGTTCAATTTGATATTTTTGACTATGAAACAAAAAAGGTCACAAGCCATTCAGGCATGTTGCTCCTTAAGGATAAAAAGGACATGAATTATGTCTGATTATTATGGCTGAGGGAACTGGGGTTGTTGAGCCTGGAGAAAAGGAGGCTGAGGGGAGACCTTCTGGCTCTGTCCAACTCCCTGAAAGGAGGGTGGAGAGAGGTGGGGGTTGGTCTTTTCTCCCAGGTAACAAATGATAAAACAAGAGGAAATGGCCTCAAGTTGCACCACGGGAGGTTTAGATTGGATCTGAGGAAAAAATTCTTCACCAAAAGGGCTGTCAAGCATTGGAACATCCTGCCCTGGGAGGTGGTGGAGTCACCTTCCCTGGTGGGATTTAAAAGACGGGTAGACAAGGTGCTCAGGGACATGGGTTAGAGGTGGAATTGGTAGTGGTGGGTTTATGGTTGGACTTGATGACCTTAAAGGTCTTTTCCAATTACTACAATTCTGTGATTCTGTGAATTAAGTTGAGAGAAAGTGAGTAGAGAATTTTGTGTGCCCTGAGAGCGGACTGGAATGAACTTGGTCTTTAAGAGGAGTTTACAGCTATTTTCAGAGACTGTGACCAGGTGCACCTCCCCCTCTTTCACACCAAGCTTTCCATGCTACAGCAGATAAGGAATAGCAAAAAGTATTCCTCCATTTGATTTGAATTTACCCATTGAAAGTAACAAAAAAATCCCCCAAGGAAATGCAAGTACTTTCTTCAAACAGATTTCTACTGCTCAGTTGAATGTTAACAAGCTCTGATAGTGCTCACCATTTTTCTTTAATTAGTTCTAAAAATATTAAGATTGACATTTATCATTGGGCTACTGAATATCTGTAATCTGATGAATAAAGAAAGATATATAAAAGAAGATAGTGATAAGAAATTCAATGTACTGAATATTATTTTAAGAAAATTTACTTGTATTTTGTTCTGCATGACTTTCACGTACTGGGAAGAAGGAAAAAGGAATTAATGTCAATGAACTATGATCTGTTTTCTCTTTATGATACAGATTTTTTAAAAAAAAAAAACCCATACAGCTACTCCTTCACACCACTCCAACACCTGCAGTTGTTAAAAAACAATTTCAGTCAATTACAACTAGCTGGCAAAAGCTTCAAATGTATCTTTTTGATATAATGTCCAGAGACAACATCTTAGAATGCCAAGTCTCTCTTTGTGCTACAAGGAAGGCTGGAAGGGAAGTTTTTTATCTTTCTCATGATATTTTTCCAGCTCTGCGGCCCACGTAGCCCTCTTCCCACTCCACCCTGTATCTGTCAGCTCATACTCCAACCAGATGTGATCAAGTGGTGGCTATTCACATCCCTAGTTTTTAAATCCAAAATATAGGCCTTAGTTTTTGCTTCAACCCTACCTACTAAACTGTTGGAAGGTTTACTTTACTGGCATTATTTCTAATTTATACTTCTGACAATATGAATAGAATCAAGCCTTTCAGTTCAGGTTTGGTAAGGTCCCATCCTCCCTTTCAAAATCTTTATCCCTGGGTATTCCCAAGACAGATAAAGGTATTCCAGTTAAAGTCTGAGCTCTGCTCTTAACAAAGTCATCTTTCTCATAAGCAGACCCCCATAGCCTTGACCACTGGAGACTCCATGCAGTGCAGTTCTCATATTGAACAGTCCCAAGAAGGAAGACAAGAAAGAATGAGGGGAGCCTGGGGCAGGGATTGGAGGATGTGCTGCATTAGGAAACAGACCTGGCAAGGGAGCTGCAGCGATTCAGCTCCCTGACCTTTAGCTGAATTTTTCTCAGCGACTGAAATGATTAACAGTCCAACCAAGAAACTTTCCATGGCATGGGAAACTGGTTCAGAAGCAGATTTTGCTTTATACAAGAGAAAATGTCTCTGTATCCAGGGGATTAAAAATCCCAGTATGACTAAGACTGGAGGCTATAATTGTACATGCCTATATGAGCTCATATGAACTCTACGACACAAGTGGGATTTGAAGGAGTATATCAAATGCATGGTTTGCTCCACGTGAGGAGGTTAATGTTGAACTGGAACTCCTCTAACATGTTCTTATACCCACATGACCAAGCTAACCTGCTCTCTGTATCGCTGGCATTATTTCTTGAGATGCTTTAATGCTCCTTGAAACAAAAACTGCAAATGGTTGAAGACACTGTGAAGATAACAGATAAATACTTCACTAGACTTCTGATGAGGGCTTTGACCAAGGGAAACATCTGTGTGTCATTATATTGATACACAAGATTTGGAACGGAGTTAAAGGCAGAGAGATATGGAATTGAAAGAGGCGAAGGGAGCTGAAAAAGTTAGTTTAAAAGAAATAATTAAATCAGGCTCTAGGTACTGATTCTCTTTGGGAGAGGTAAAAGCGGTTTTCCCACATGAGAGAGGGGGTAAGTGAGATGCTGAAGGTGACGTGACTTGTCCACAGCAATGCAGGAGGCAACAGCAAAATGCTGAGTTAGCACTTGTATTTCAATGGAAGGGCCATGGGACATCACAGAAAAGTGAACGGCTTTCCTGGGATATCATCAATTTTGGACAACCCAAGAACTCATTCTATCATATTTTTGCAAAAAGTAAGTAAATTCCCATGGGAGAATAAAATCTCTTTCTGCTTGAGTGCACACTGTGCTAAGAGTACCGTCAGGAGGGAGGCTTACAGGAAAACACCAATTAACAAAATGAACACAACGAGACGAGAATCTTGTTACTGTCAAATCCTGAACTGTTTTGGGATGTAGACAGACATATATGTGTTACAGCTGGAAAGTACAGAAGGAAGCTTACATACCAGTCTGAAAAGGGATGTGATTTCAACCTGTCAAGGGCATTCAGTGCTTTGTAGGATGACATTAAGGCCATATCAAAGTCACTATTAAATGATTTGCTTAAGTTCGCTCAGCCATTTGCAGCAGAGTGGCGGAATGAACCTAGTTACAGTTGCTCTCTACCTCCTGCTGCAAGAAAGGAACACGACTGCAAACCAAGGAAAAAATGAATCACAAAATGACGTTCTCATTATTCAGTTCTCCATTTCAGAAGAGAATGGATACAGATTGTTAATGTATAAAATTCCTTCAACTCCATCTATAATCACACTTTTTTGTTTTGTTTTGTTTTGTTTTGTTTTTTTCTTTTCCCAAGTCTATCTCATAAACAGAGCTCCTGGTTCTCAAACTCACCTTGTCCCCAGAGGGTGATACACTGCTGCTCGTGGGTCTGGCATATGCCGTTGTAGCAATAGCCATCTACCCGGTGGCACGCGTGCCCGTCGTGCAGGTACACGTTAGCCGGGCAGTGAGGGCTGGCTCCTGTGCAAAACTCGGGCAGGTCACAGGAATTACTTGACTCTCTGCAAGAAATCCCCGCTGGTTTTAACTGCAAAACAAATAAAACCCCTTAACTGCTGTAATTCCAGTCAAGAAGAGTTATGCAGCAGTATAACCCATGCAGCGCACGAGTAGCTTTTTCCACTGGCTCCACACCAACTGACCACAGAGGACAGTATAAGGATTACGCAGCTCTTTAAATACATTTATTTGACACATGTTGTGAAGGGTTTGGCAGGAAGGAGGGCCAAACTGAAGCTGCAGCTGCAAACATGGCTCACGTGGCTCAGGTCAGAAGGTAAATCCAGATTTTTGTGAGTTTTCAAATATGAACGAAAGTTTTCGGAGTGCCTCCTGTAATCATGACTAAACACAGAGGCATGATCACGTAACTTTATGTTATGTTATGTTATGGCTTATGAAGCCACCAGCCCACCTGACTCTGGATTCAGCTCCCTGACCACTTCCTGGGATGGAGGTGCCTTCCCTCATGGAACCGTCACTCTGTGATGGGCATCAAGATCTTCATCTTAATTATACAACTATTCCATGTAACTGTTCCTGTCCTGATTTCTCTGGATAACTACATTTTTTCAGAGCTGAAGCCAACTCGGAGGCAATGATGGAATGATCCAATCTGAACATTCACTTATCAACAACAACCACAAAAGATGGGTGGGCTCTGGGAGCAGCACTCAATTTTAATTGCACCGCCACAGTGCCTTCGGTAAAAAGCAAAAAGACATGAAGATTGATTTTGCTAAAAAGCATTTGCTAGCTGCTTTGACAGCTTGCTGCTATTGAGCTTTTAGGCAGATGGTTGCAACAGACACAATGGAAACTTGCTGAATGCTTTATTAGCCCATATGCAAGAGATGGTCTGAAACTTCAAGAAGGTAAACGCCTGTGGCGAGTTGGCTTCTTATAGTAGCACAAGAGCCCACAAGAGCTGATGATTTGCCATTAAAAATAAATATGCTGTTGATAGAATTAATATTTTAAGAGTCTTCACATAAAAAGAAGGTCCAACATTTAATGACTGCTTCCCAGAGCACATCATCCATATAAGGATGAAAAAAATCAAAGCATATAAAAGCTCATGAAAAAGAAGAGGTTTTCCATGAGCCAACGAAGTGGCTACAAACAGCAGACACGCCTAAAAAAGTCTGTTGATCTGCTTCTTCAATAACTGTTACAATCTGAGAAATTTTTTTAATTCTTACATGGAATGCAAATGTCTTAATGCTTAAGGATACCGATTTGCTTGTCCTCCATCCTTGCTTTCTGCTCTGCAGTTGGGAAGATTATGGAATTCTGCCCACCCCACACAGATAGGAAACGTTTGCGTTGGTTCACCTGGCAATCTTCGCAGCAAAGTCCATGTGCACACACTGCTCCTGGTTTCAAAGTACAGGTCGTTGCATTGCAGCACCGGTTTGTACATTCCTAGACGGAGGATAAATTTAGAGCAGACAACTTTCAGTCACATTGAGCTATAAATCAAGAGGCTGCCTATAGCTCCGCCAAGAAAAGCTAGGCATGAAATAATGAATTATGCATGAAATTCTACAACTTGATCCAAAGAGTCTTGTCTGTCCTTAGATTCAACAAGCGCAATAATTGTAGTAAAACCAGAGAAGCCATTGAGGAAGGCTGGTTTATTCTAGCTATGGATCTAATCCCACATATCACAAGCAACTCAAGTGTGCTGTTACCAATCTTGATACAGTCGTACGGTGTTTTATTTCCACAAAAATCAGTGGAATGACTCCATTGCCTCCAGAGAGGATCCAGGAACCGTGTTGCAGTTACTAAGCATCACAAGTACAGCTCTTTGCTTTGTGACAGTTGCTCACAACTGCTTCTGCACTGCATGGAGACTGGTGGCTGCCACAAAGAAAGATGATGACACCATTCCATGTAATCTCTTATCAGGGTATGACAGCAATGGAGCTTTGAGAAATGAAATGAGTATGAATTGCATTCTCACTAACTGATACATCCCAATTTCACACTTACGGATTAGACGGTGGCATGTGTGGGCTTCTGCAAACTTTATTCTCAGTAGAATGAGCTAGGAAGAAGTTTCAGAAAATAATGGATTTGTTTTTTTCCAAGATTATGCTCACAAGCTGCAAGTTACATCAGCTGAGCTGGAATCTCATCTCTCTAACAAAAACAGCAGCAGATAAAATTGCTCTTCAGCTGTGTTAAGTCATTTTGACTTAACAAGGGATCACTAACAATATAGAGAACACAAGAAAAATAAGTGGGTTAGAATGATGTTCACAGCCTCTTGTTACTTTTATTGGCTTTTGTAAAGCTTTCCAACTGGAAGACAGGGCTACCACTGCACTCACAAATAAAGAGCAAAATCATTCTCAGCATTTCACTGTTTTCTTAGAGAATATCTGCCTGAATAGACAAAGCTAACCGTGCTGCTCTGAAGCAGTGAAACAACTTCCTGCACCTGTTTTCGGTCGTGCCGGAAGGCAGCAGCTACGCAAATATTTCTGTGCAGCTGCTGTATTTAAGAAGTAAAGTTCCGACGCACAGAAGTGCATTTTATACATTCACCTTGACAGCAATCTGAGAGAAGCAGAGTGGAGGAAAGCAATGTCAGTCCCATTAAGGTACTTCTGAAACAGTCAGCTGCTGTACAAAGCTGGAGAAGGGTCTGGAGCACAAGTGTGCTGAGTTCCCAGCTGAGGGAACTGGGGTTGTTGAGCCTGGAGAGAAGGAGGCTGAGGGGAGACCTTCTGGCTCTGTCCAAGTTCCTTGGAGGAGGGTGGAGAGAGGTGGGGGTGGGTCTGTTCAACCAAGGAACAAGTGATAGAACAAGAGGCAATGGCCTCAAGTTGCGCCAGGGGAGGTTTAGATTGGATGTCAGTAAAAAATTCTTCACTGAAAGTGTCATCAGACATT